TGTTGATGATTTTACTATTAACTTTATTGCTTTTTATTGTTTTGATGTGCTAAAAATACATTACATACACATTGACAAAATAACTTAATTTTTAAATCTCGTAAGTTACGCTTCAGACAAGTTTTTTTCGCTGAAAAAGATCTATTCTTTTGCTTTGTAAGTAATTTTTTTCTCATCAAAATCTCAATTTGAGTATCAACATGCGTGGCATTTAACCAAGCGGTACAACCGATGCATTTATGCTTACACTTGAAAAAGATAGACTATTTTTTATTTTTCACGTCCGAATGAACGTTAATTTGTTACAAATACGTTTTATCGACCAAACTTTTAATTTTCCACAATATATCTTTATGAAGTAACTAACTGCATGCGGCTACTTACAGTTACACCACTTTCAAGTTTATTTGAGCTATATTAGTACAGATAAGTTTTGATTAATTTTTGTAAGGAGCAAAGAAAAGAGAGTCATTATGAGATTGCAGTACGCAATAAGAATGAAGAAAAGGTAACCCAAGTTGAATAATTGTACTCTGCGGACCAAAATGAGGCCGAATCAGTAATTCATTATGTGTAACCTGAAAGATTCCTTACAGTATGGTATAAGAATTGTTTTCAGTAAAAAAAAAGCTTAAGTCATATTTATCAAATTAAATTCAAATTGAAAAATATTTGAAATAAATTGAAGGAAAAAACTTTTTTGATAACATTCCTATACGACTTCTGCCCATAAATTTTCCTATTTTCTCTATTAATGACAAAACTAAAAGGTTGTTATAGGAAGCTAATTTATGAATGATTGAAAAATTCCAACTAACATTATATTTTTTAATAAAATACTTCGAATTAATGCTAAGAATATCCATGCGACTGTCCCCGTTTCCGTGTAGATAAATATCCAAAGAATGAGGAATATTGTTCGATTTTGTTAAATACTTGTTTAATTGTGAATTGTACTAAAAGTTTTAGACATAGTTACAGAAAATTTGAACAGAATTATTGAGACTCAATAATTTAAATTATTAATATCCACTCGACCTGTAAATCGTAATTCCGAGCAATACTTTCCATGAAAGCTGATGCTACAGTAATATATGGAGAATTAGCAATAACAAAAACAGTGCGCAGAACAAAACTTGGTGCATATGCTGTCTTGCCAAAGAAAATAGCAAAATAAGGAAATGCTAAAATTCGTGAATGCCGCATTAACACCGTTGAATTATTAGTATCGCACAGAGTTTGATCAAATCCACCAAGAGTTAGAACCGCCTCTTTGTTCCATTCCTGTGTACAGATGAATATTTTAATTGTTCTCTTGCATATATTATACAGAATAATTTATACAGTAGTGAATTAAGTAATATACAGTAAAGAGTTATGAACTGTAAAATTAACTACAATAGATGTAGAGTTATTTTTTTTTTGATTCCCGTATTTCAACAATCAATATGTTGATGCGATTTAATGTTGAAAAAAAGATTACCTAAATCATGTAGTAATAATTAACTGTAATAATAATTAACAATAATGATAATTAACAATAGTAATAATAATAATAATAATAATAATAATATCCTAGAATTTGTATTTGAAATGTGTTAATAAAAAAATATGTGACATATAAAACTACCATTGGTGGCGCAGCGATTCCTATGCTGGGCAAAATATTATTTTGCATCATTGCTGTAAAAATAGGATTTTCCTCGAATGATCTGAATAATCCAAATATGCCATCGACATTAATGCGATCTTCCACATTTGTCGAATGAACTGCTACAGCTACAGCAAATTCAAAATCTTTGAAGGATAAAGAACCATTCGACTTTTCAAACTAAAATTTTAGCTGGTTCAGATGCAAATTGTATTTCATACAGTCTTTCAAGTTCATATCAGAAAATACGGCTTCAAAATATATGTGCTAAAAAGTATTAATCAAAATAATGACTGAAAATATTGTTTTCAATTGATTCATTCAAATCATTTATGCTGATTTCGAGTTTCAAATATTTAAAAAGAAATAATTAAAAATATTGTTACTTTACTGTTTTTATGACTTATTGATAAAATTCTACAAATTACCGAAACTGTATCTTTCCATCCTTCTGCCAAAATTTCATTTCTTGAAAGCTGATATGTTTTCAATAACTTTTTACCCGTCAAACCGTAACTCTTTTTACCTACGCAAAATGGATGCCTGCAAATATCATTTTTAATAAAATAATTTGTTGAATAAAAATTATAAATTTTGACGCAATTCATTTAGACATTTTCCGTTTCTACTGACTCTTGGGAAATTAGCAAGTAAAGTTTGTAAATTTACACAAGTAAGGTTTGTAAATTTACAAGCAGTTTGGCCCAAATATCTGCATTATCGGAGACAGTGTACTTAACAATAATGTGTATTCTTCTTCAGGTATGCCGATTATCATCTTCAACGCATATCCAAAATGTTGCTGAATTTCATGAAATTCGATATTTGTAACAAAAATTTTATCGCTATAAAATACAATTCAATCAATTAATTGATTTTTGAGAATCATGCATTAACGCAACTTACGTTAGTTTCACTGTAGACTGGATAAAGAGGAATACGATGCTGACTGCTTGCCCGACATGAATAAACAGAGGTTAAAATTAATAGTTTCATTAACAAATACTGAAGCATTTCTTCCAAATCACTGAAAAACTATTAAGAATCAAAAAACATAAAATGTTTTTAACATAAAGTTAGTTTGAATCTCATATTTTTGCAACAGTTTAATAAATTTTTTAGTGAAAATAACAATTTTGATTCAAAATAAATATTAGCGTCAAACAATACACATACATTACCAAAGATTCGGCTAACGCAAATATTTAACACTTTGTATGCTTATATTTCCATTAATTACTTTTCCTTTTCGAGCGTGAAAACTAATAAATCTGAAAAAATACTAGCATCAATTTCATTTCTTCTTCAGTAGACATTACTGCAAGCATATATGTAACAGAAATATTGCTTAGAGTAAACTCACTCTTGTCATTAAGTTTGCAAAGTTTGCTTTCGAATCAAACATAAAAC